TACTACAGAACAGAAAGTAATAACTATATTATAATACTACTGAACAGAACGTAATAACTGAATTATAATAATACATTTTCTTTCTCGTTTTAGCATTGGCTAAAGTGTTTATAAGACTGAAAAGATCTGAATCTTGCGCAGTTATATTTTCTATAGAAATGATAGCCAAGTCAGACAATCTTTGTTGGCTCATGGTATTCCTCAGGAAATTTTTAATGAGTTTTAATTTTGAAAACGACCGCTCAGCAGTAGCGACTGTTACAGGAATTGTTGGGAATAGCAGGCAAGCTGTAATAATTTCTGAGAAACTACTGCTGAATGAACAATTGTGTAATAAAATAAAGGTAAGTAAATCGGCAACAGAATTAATGTTTGTGACTTCTTTACGGAAGCAATTACGGAAATTTAAAAGCTGAATTGACAAAGGATCAGAAATGTCATTTGTATATAACAAATGCAACTTTTTATTCAAATAATTCCTCGTCATTAGTATTCAGTCACACTTTGGTGTTTAAAATTTCAAATGTGTTATGAACATAATGAAGGCCAGTCAATCTGGTCTCTAATTGTGAGATTATTATTTCAATAGTTTTATTAAAAACATTTATTTTAAAATGATCTTCGCGTGTTTCAACTTGGTAGTGATTTTTAAATGCGTCAAAAAAAAATTTAGACGAGAAGTTCGTTTCGCTTCAAACGTTGTGCAACCCCCCATTTTTGAGCTAAATTAGTTGCCTCATTTTTCATTTCTAAAAACTTATTACGAAGTTGCTTAACCTCACTGGATGCATTGGTGAATAGTTTAAAAGCTTCTCCAATATTTTGTTGTTTATTTTGAAGTAATATTGATACGACCTCGGTACACTGTAAAATTGAAACTTTGTTTCCAAGATAATTAAAAAAATGGTTTCATAATTTTCCAAAGTTTTTTAATTGCTTTTGTATCATCGATTTCATTTTTTGACTTAGAAATTAAGATTATTTTGGTTAAAACTTTTAAAATATCTACATATTTATACCTTAAAGTACTTAATGCGTCATGTCTAGGTACCAATTTTTTCAATTTAATGTCTTTGGTATTTTTCTCTGGATATAAATCATGCCAGCGTATGATGCCATGACCAAAAAAAACTTATACTTTTTCAACAAAGTCAAAAAATTTCGAATTTGTTTTACTCCTTTTACGGAATCATTTATCATTAAGTTTAAATTATATACAGCGCAGTGAATGTATGGCGTAAAACCAATTTTTTCCGAAATTTTTGCTTGGACCCCATTGTTACACCGCTCATATTGGCGGCTCCGTCATATCCTTGGGCTCGCAATTTATTTAACAGAAGATTTAAATTATTAATGGTGGAAATTATTTTATCACTTAATGTAGCAGCACTTTGATTTTCTAATGGTACAAATCCTAAAAAGGATTCATTCACTTTTATATCTGTCAAAATATTATGAGAATAAACGAGTTCTACGTAAGGAATAATTAAACTCATTTGATCTATTTTTGAAATATCCTGGGTGGTGTCAATTATAATTGAATAAAATGGACTTGCATTAATTCTCTCAAGTATGTTTTCTTTAACTACATTTGATAATAATTGTATTACTTCGTTCTGAATTTGGGGACTAAGGTATGTAACTGATTTTTTCGTTTTAGTTTCTAGAATATTTTTTTTTAACACAGGATCGTATTTAGATAATAATTTTATAGTCGCCAAAAACATTCCTGGATTTGTAGACTCAATTTTTTCATCATGTCCTCGAAACGGCATATTGCATGAAGCCAATAAAAGAACTACGTCATTAACACGCTTTAAAACCTTCCTCCAAAATGAGATCTCTTGGCAAAGTCCTTCTTTATTTATATAATCGATAGTTTTATTTAAACGGCATTTGTCATATATTGCACAACATACGAGTAGACTATGCTCTAACTTTTCTTCATGTTTTTTAACTATTCGATTTAAATGTATCCAGTCATCAAACCCTAAACTGAGTTTATTTTGTTGTTTAGAAAATAGCCATCTTGGTTGGCAGTAACATTTGTTAAGAATTTTAGAGTAACATAACCACCTTCGGGTACTTTTAAATCTCGTTGCTGAAGTTTTTGTGTAATAAAAATAGGAAAAACTTCTATTGCTTCCGTCTTTTGGTAATGGACCAGGAGGTCTGCAAGGTCCATTGGATATTATAAAACGTTTTTCAGAATCATTCAACGCTGCCTGAAAATGACCCCTATCGGTCACATTGACAATAGTTATGTCATCTTTTTCAGGACCTAAACTAATCTTACGGAGGTTATATTCAATAACTGAAGTTGATACAGCAGAACTGCTACCCTCACTTTCCGACTTTGATGTTGATGGTTGTGGTTCATTGATACTGATTTCGTCTTTCTTTTCTTTAAGAAAAAAATGATCGATCTTTGGCATTCTTTTCTTCTTCTCTTCGGATGCCGCCTTTTCTTTTCATTTTGCACTACCCGATTTGTGTTTATAAGACATTTTCAATTTGTTTTTATAATGGATTAAATACACAAAAATTGAACACTGCTCGGTGTCAAGCTGGTTTTAATCTGAGCTCTGCATAACGACTGAAGAAAAGAAGATCGAAGCCACGTAATCGTATCCGTTATGCCTCAGACAGACAGAACACTCGCACTAGTTTCTTGATATTAATATTTATGAAAAAAAGTTTTAAACCACTAAACTAACACTAAACACTAGGACTCCTAAAACGCGAACTACCTACATAGAAAAAAAATCCAAAACAAAAATAATACTATGACTAGAAAAACACAAACAAGAAAAAACAAAACTAAAATACAATATATTCATACACAAATTTAAAACTGGTGGGTAACGTCTCTAAAGACCGTTTACGCAGAAAGTGAAGAGCGTCAACGCCAACTCAGTTATACTTATGAGTGCATAATCCTTGTTAACGGTTTCTCTCAGCAGAGCCAATCAAATTCTTATGTTTTGCCGGGACGATTTGAAAGATGTTTTTTACAGCCCTACAGGGCGAGTCATATATAATAAAATAAAATAAATATTATATAAAAGAATATATAAGTAGATGTTAATTATCAATTATAAGTTATTCTTCTTAGTATAAATTGTTTGCAGACGAGTGAATTCCACTTTCAAATTTGTTTCACAAAAGTTATTATTGTACTGCTTGCACGTGAAATACCTCAAATTTAGGCAAGTATGATGTACTATCGAATTCATGAAAAACTAGGACAGCAAAACGTTGTTACGTACACCCGGGGAAAAAGTTATTCATCAGTCTAACTTGGCGCTCACGCTGCGCTTTGTTGCAAAGTTTCAAACTAACTAGTTGAGGAGCAGGTATAATATGTTTTAAAAACCCTTATTTAGGAAGTTTGTCTGGACTGGAGGACACATGTTTCTTGAAAACTGTGTTATGGAAAATTGCTTCAATGAGTATGTCCTCGGATTGAGTTTACAAGAGGAATTTTTCTTTATCTTTGATTATACGCCAAAACTGATAAGGAAAAACATTTCTTACTTTATCTGAAACGAGCAAATCTGTAATTAAAACTTTATTATTCTAACTTAATAGAAAAAAAGTTCATTTTTTTCTTGATTTTGGACTTATTTTTTGTGAATTATTTTTCTCAGCGTTTTAAATCTCATCACATTGGCGGTTTTACTTTTTTAATAACTATGTGACTTTGCCAAATGAGTTTACGCAAGTTAAATAACGAAAATGTTAAAGAAAAATATAATTTTAATAAATGGCAATTCTAAAAAACAGCTTTAAGATAAAAAATACAAAGTTATTTTTAACAAAAACAATTAATATTCAATTAATTAATTAATTTTCAAAGTGATATCGTTGTCAAAAAATTAAATCGCCAATGTAATGAGATTTAAAATGCAGAGAAAAATTAATACATATCATTATTATACAGGGTACGCCAGAACTCAGAGAAAAATGCCATATAAGGTAGGATACCAGGAACATAGAAAAAATGCTAAAAAAATTGTATCTATAAAAATTACGAAGTTATGAGGGTTTAATGTTTACACTTTGACTCTATTTATTTCTGTTGGAAAAATAATTTTCTAAGTTTTTTTGCTACAGGCTATTAAAAGAGGAAACAAGAAAGCTGTATCCTAAATTGTAACTCTGTTCAGTGTTATTTGTGGCTTTTATTGACAAAATTTTTGCACCTTTACTAAATAATTGTAAAAAAATATATACAAGATCATCAGTATCATTAAATAGACATAACAAATTGTCAAATGTCAAAAAATAAATGTCACAATTTTTTGACAGATAGAATTTTTTAAACATTTTTTTCATATTCCTGGTATCTTACCTTACTTGAAAATTTTCTCTGGGGCGCGAGTTCTGGCGCACCCTGTATATCCAGCGATCAAGATAATTTGTAATCGAGTCATCCTTGGATCCAAAAACGTATGTCTGTAAAATGTCAAGTAAAATGACAAGTCGAAAGGTAAAACGGCATGATCAAAAAGGTGATGATTATAATAACCAAATTTATAATTTACTTTCAAAAAAGAACGTCCTACTCGTATTATTATACCTCGGCGACTAATTCCAGCCCATTTTATTGCCCTTTTTCTTTTCGACTTGAAATTTTATTTGACGTTTCACGTGCAGTTAATTCAAAAACAGACATACGTCCTTGGATGCAAAGACTCGATTACAAATTATCTTGATCGCTCGATATTTATATAATATTATTAAAAATTAACTTTTTTTTTCACTGAATCAGAATTATGAAGTTTTGTGTACAGATTTGCTCGTTTCAGGTGAAGCAAAAAATGTATTTCCTTTGCAGTGTTGGCGTAAAAATAAAAATATTTTTTTTTATTTTTGTAAAATTAAATTTACTACTTTGGTTTTTTTGCTTTGTTTAAAGGTAAAAAAAATAAATAGAAAAAACGAAAGAAACTAGTTATTTATTAATAAAATGAAATGTAAATCACAAAATACAATGTTCTAATAATTAATGTAGTAGCCTTCGGCGTCAATGCATACCTGCAATCTGCGTGGCATAGAATTGACTAAGGTTTCACACAAATTTGTTCGCCTTATTTGCCCCCAAACTTCATTTACATTATCTGTCAATTCATGACGATTGGGGTCGGACCCCAATAAAGTTGTCGTTCCACTGCCGAACCATTTCAGCCCATGGATTTTCAATTGGGTTCAAATCTGCCGATTTGGCCGGCCATATTAACACGCTTGAAAACCATCTTCTTCCCGAAATCGAAAATTTGTTTCGGGATGAACCGCCGATTTTTGTGCATGACAATAGCAGCATTCACACCGCAAGAATTGTTCAGCAATGGTTCCAGGACCACCAACATCAAATTCAAACAATTCGTTGGCCGGCTGCCTGGCTCTTCTTCTTTGATTCACCAATGGAATCTTGTTGTGCCAGCCCAAATCTCCTCTGAGAAAAAGCAAAGGATATGATAATGGATCACAAAATTCGCTTATCGAATCAAATTCGTGATTTCTCAAGAAAACTCTCATCCATGGATTTGGCGGATTGTTTTCATCGTAATTTGCAACAACAAACAAACTTCATTGATTGCAGGTGGATCATGCTCACGATTGTTTCGATTACGATGTTGTTCGACAAATTCGAGACACACAGCATCTCCCACTCTTTGCTCTTCGTAGACATCATGCAAATGACGATACACGTGAGCAAATGGAATGACCTCCTGCCGCTGTTCTGTGATCAACTCAATTAGCGCTACGTTCAATCTTTGACGCCTAGCGTTGCCAACTCGTTGTTCAACTGTCTGTTCGGGGTCTAAAAAAATACAGTGGCCCATATTTCATATTAGCCCGATTGACATTAATGTTTGTAAAAGTCGACTTCATGAAGAGGACACAGATCAGTTGATTTTTGTGCTCGATTACATCGACATTCCGGAAGAGGATTCTTTTCTTCAATGTAAAATCGTTCCTCGGGCACATGGTGTGTCAACAATAGCATCTAAATTTTCATTGTCAACACTTTTTTACAATCGATTTTTTTGTCTTTCTGGTGGTAAAGACTCATTGACCATGAATGGTGAACCGCTTCTCAAGCGTTTCATCCCATGGTTTGAATGCGAAGGGTAGCTGTACAACTCGCGGTCGTTGTCGCTGTCGTCAGATGAAGAAACCAAGTTTTGTGAATTGACCATCACAACCACTCTAGGTTGGAAATTCACAAAACTTCTTCTGAAGTGTTCTTCAAGACTGGTCACAACTGCTGGAACGACGACCTCTTCGGAGTTGACTGTGGCATCGTTGACAACAGGATCATTGTCATCAGTTGGTTTTCTTAAGTGTTCGGCCACTTCTCCGACTTCAGGGAATGCTTCGTTCAACTGATCAATAACCTGTTTATAAAGAAAAACGTTAAAAAGTATTAACAACACAATCAAGGCAATTTTTATATTTTTTTTATAAATTCTATAATTTATAACAATATTATACAGGGTGCGCCAGAACTCGCGCTCCAGACTAAAATGCCATATAAGGTAAGATATCAGGAACATGGAGAAAATGTTAAAAAATTCTATCTACTTATAAAAATTTCGAAGTTATGAGAGTTTAAATTTTGCACTTTGATTCTATTTATTTCTAAATTAATTGCTTTTAATAATTCTAAGTAATATTTGCATAAGTATGTAAATGGAAAACATCTTTTTTTATTTACCACTTCTTCGGTAATAAATATTTTCATTTCCTCAAATGCTTGTTGGTGATATTTCCAAGTTTTTTTCGGTGATCTCATTACCTTATTTTTTTCCTGTAATGTGTACAATGCAATCGTTCGGCAACTATTATGATAATAAATAACGGGGTCGCAATATTGCTGACTTTTTGATAAAATTCATTATTTTCGCCAAATGCTATCACAGTTTGTAACAAACTTTCTGTTTCTGACGAATGCAAAGCTTGAAACCGCCCTTTAACTCGTTTATATTTATTATTTATACATAACTTATCATGGCTACTTTCCTCAATAACTACTGAAGAGCTAATTGCCTCTGTTTCTACATCGGACATTTCTGTAAAAAAATTAAATCACTAAAATATTCATATCGCAACGAATAATAGTTATTTATTCAATCCTCTTTGTTAAAATTAAATTTTATCTACTCTTTTCTTCATGTTAAAATTAAATTTTATCTCGTCTAGATGATAAAAAAATATCGAGCGATCAAGATAATTTGTAATCGAGTCATCCTTGGATGTGAAAACGTAAAGTCTGTTTTTTTTTTTTAAATGGAAATGCCAAACAGTCTTAACGTTGGCACCACTAGTAAATTCATTCCTGGTAATTTTAATGAAAGAAGTTAGTAGTTCTGGTTTTATGAATTAATTTGAAAACAATGTCATTAAACGTCAACATAAAAAATCGTCTAAGAAAATTTAGAGACGAAACACCAAAAAAGGAACAAATTCGGTATCGCTAACATTTTTAGAGATTTGGAAACGAATAGTTCGCAAGCAGGAAGTTAGAACAAGGACCCGTTAAATTGTAGACGCAATTTGTAACGCAGGTTTGCTAAACATTCTCAATTTTTAGTAAAAATTGATAAGAATACAAAATAAACATGAATGAGAAAGAATCTCGGAAAGAAAGCAATTAAATTAGTGTATTGTGCATCGTTTTTGAGAAACGAGTTGAAAAAGTAACAATTTTGAAACTAAAGTGAAGAAACATTTAAAAAATGCATCAACATTGAGCTCATTTCAATTTCATTACACAAAATTTGTTGCCAATATATTGCCAATCATAATACCTACTTGCATCTTTTGCTAAATAATCCTTTTTCTGTTGCAAGTTCCTCATTTTTGTCCACAAAATTGTAGTTATTTGCGGTGTGTTTCTATCAAAGCTATTAGCACTGAATTCTGTCTTTAGACCTTAGGTAATGATGTCTATCCTCAGGTGTTCAATTATAGTGCTTTCAAAGAGCAAACCGGCACACAAGATTCATAAAAACATCTCAATTTAAAACATAACCAAATTTTTTTAACAACATTTCTAGGGACAAAAACAAAGAGCAAACAAAATTTGTGACTATGGAGACAAGCTGCTACAAATTTTTTCACCAAAATTTTGACTTGGTAATTTTCATTTAAAAAAAAAAACAAACTTTATATCTGTGAAATGTCAAGTAAAATGACAAGTCGAAAGGTAAAATGGCACGATCAAAAAGGTGATGATTACAATAACTAAATTTATAATTTACCTTCAAAAAAAGAGCGGTCCTACTCGTCGGCGACTAATTCCAGCCCATTTTGCCGTTTTACCTTCCGAATTATCATTTTATTTGACGTTTCACGGGCAGTTAGACATACGTTCTCGGATGCGGAGATGACTCGAATACAAATTATCGTGATCGCTCGATACATCTGTTATTGTATATCTGCGGTTGTTAGTTGCTAACGATCTTTGCCATTAGATGTCGTTGTTGAATTTTACTTTGACATTTATAAATATCGACCAAATTGACTACAAAATTAGTGAAGATTGAATAAAATTTTATATTGTACACGACGATAAAATTTTCATTATCTTTTGGAGGATATTAGCGTCTCGGCTGACGCCTCGACGCTAAATTGCTCTCATAGAAAAAGTTCAATTTTATCATCTTGTATAATAAATATGTTGACTACCAGAGCACTTAATTTTTGAACAATTAAGCCGACCTTGGTGACCTGTCGATCGATTTAGAGATTCACGAATTAATAAATTGTTTTGGCGACTTACCCAATTACGAGTATCCCGACGTAGGGGTAGACCGTTCTCACAAGGGATGGCGGTACCGCTTTTTTGCCACTAATGTGGCACTCACGAGAGATGAAAAGAATCTGGTCACGATGTTAGACTAAAACCCTCGAAGTCTTGAAGTCAACTCTTGCTAACTCGAACTCTCTGGTCCATCTACCCGTGACCCTTATGTGGATGGAGGGGGCGTCACCAAACGGTAGGGACCAATTCGTGAATCCAGTTAACCGCAATTCTCGTGAAATTTTGATTTTGGTCGTGCAACCATCTTAAGATTATTTATTATTATTCTAAAAATTATACAACAAGTATTATGTACAAAACATTTTCCTACCAAACGCCACTGCTTAGGGGGTACCAATTCATTTTTGATTAGCACTAGCGCACCACGATCGATTTTTGTTAGCGGCTTATGCCACTTTCCGTGTTGTTGAATTGTGTGTAAATATTCGCGGTGCCAACGATTCTAGAAGGATTGGTGCATATGCACCACTGCCAACGTGTGACACTGTTTGTATTTGTGTGCGTTACGTCCTGCTCTGGTACGCACGTCAACGGTGCCATTGGTAGAAAGTGACCTGGCGTAAGAGCGGTCAGATCGTTGGGATCTGCGCTTATAGGACAGAGCGGGCGTGAATTCAGAATGGCCTCAATTTGACAAAAAAACATAAAGCTCCTCAAAGGTCAAAATTTGTTGCCGCACAACGCGATTCAAGTGCGATTTTACAGATTTTATCCCCGCTTCGCATAACCCGCCGAAATGAGGTGTTGATGGGGAGTTAAATTCCCACTTAATAAGTTGTTGTTCACACGCGGTTTTCATCAATTTGTTGAGTTGCCGTGACGCTCCCTTAAAATTGGTACCACAATAGCTCAGTATTCTCAACGCCCACGGCGAGCAATAAAACGTTTCAGAGCGGCTAAAAAGGCTTCCGTAGACAAATCGGACGGTAACTCCAAGTGGACGGCTTTAGTGACGCAACAGATGAAAAGGCATAAGTAAGCCTTTGTTGACTTGGCTCTACGGCGACGTGTTTGGGTCACAGCGAACGGACCGCCAAAATATATGCCGACACACTGGAATGGTTTTAATTGCTGCACGCGGTATGCCGCCAGTTGGGCCATCGGCTGTTACACCGGTATTGGTTGAACCCTATAGCAAATGTTGCATTTGGATATGACTGAACGTATTTCCATATGGGAGGACAGAATCCAAAAATTTTGTGTCAACAAATAGCGAAGCGTATTTAAACCTGGGTGGAGAAAAGTTTTGTGAGTTTTCTCAATTATGAGCTCCGTCAATCGGTGGGACCGTGGCAGTAGCGCGGGATGTTTTTTATTAAAGGGCAACTTGGAGTGGGAAATTCGACCACCAACCCGAATGATTTTGTCGTCATCTAAAAATGGCGCTAGGCGTTGCATTTGTTTCATACACGGTTGTCCCTGTTCCAAACTGCGTAACATGTCTGGGAAACAAGAACCCTGAACGTTTTTTATCAGGACATTTAGCGCTTCCTTCTGTTCGTTCAGTGTAATATGACCTATATCCCGAACCGGTGCGGGATTTTTACAATTATGTATGAATCGCCGAACATAACCAATAATATTTTGAATTTTTGTCAGCGACGAAAATTTTGACAATAACTTTTCGAAATTATTCCCACACCCCCCAGCTGTTGCTACCAGTGCGATCTTACGCAACTCTTGTTCGAGCACGGAAACATCCTTATGCGAGATTTTCTATTCAACCGGCCAATTAGGTGGAGATAAATAAAGCCAAGATGGGCCGTTCCACTACAAGGCGTTTTGTCTAAGCTCTTTAGGAAGTAAGTCCCTGAACCCGGAATCAGCAGGGTTACTTGCGGAATTGACATGGCGCCAAGAAGAGGGTGGAACTCTTTCTTGAATGTAGGCGACACGATTACTCACAAATGTTTTCCATTTGTGTGGCGACGAGCGCAAAAATGACAAGACAATTGTCGAATTTGTCCACGCGGTAATTGCGGCGACTTTATAGATATTACTATAAACTGATAATCCTAATGAGATCAATTTAGCCAGCAGCTGAGCACCGCAGAGTTCGAACTGCCGTAGAGAACAACGTTTGATGAAGATATGCCGGAAAATAGAATTTACATTCAAGAAGATCCTAATGACGATGCAAGAGAATAGGATGGTGCCTCCAGCAGCATGATTTCGACATCAAGAAATACTTAACTTAATGGATTAATGGAAAATAAAACCGATAACTTTTATTGAAACAACATCAATTATTCACAAAAGGAATTACTACCACAAATTTAATATTAAAAAGTATTTATTATGTGAAGATAAATTTTTGTTATATACACTGGGACCAATCCCCAGATCTGCTTCACGTTTCTTACACTCTAATTTTCTTTTGTATATTTGCAAGAGGCACGTAACTACAGGGGGACCTGGGTGGGCTATGTCCCACCGAAAATTGTGCCGGCTTACCCTTTGGCCCATCAGCTTCAAAACAAAAAAACATAAGATTTTCTAAAAAAATAAAATTCATTACTATTTATACAACTTTAACATTTTTTTTTACAGAATAAGAATCATTTCTCGAACCACTTTTTACTAACATTAAATTTTTGAAGACATTTTTGCTTGTTTTTAAAGCATGATGCCTATTGTTACTCTGTTTTATTATGACATATGGGTTTTACCCAGCCCACCTTAAAAAACTTTGGGCCTATTGTGGCCCACCCAAATATGAGGGCCTAGTTCCGTGCTTGATTTGCAATTTCAGTAGATCTGTCTTTTTTTTGTCAATTGTCTTATTGTTTAAAATGTTAATAAAATAAACAATTTAGGTTGAACAAAATTGTTATAAGATAAATTGAAGCTCTTGCCTTAACAAGGGTGCAAGCCACATTTTAATGTTTTAAAGTAAATCGCGTTTAAAGAATGTTTTAGATCTAGCAAATCTAATTTAGATGATAATCTAATTTTGAAAATAGTAACAGATAGAAGAGAATAACTTGCTTCGGTATACTAAAATAAAATAAAAAAAACACATAGTAATTTTTGAACACTTTTATTTAGAAAAAATGTGGCTTGTAACCTTGTTGCATAAAAATTGAATACGCAAAGTACAAACCACATCAAATATCAATGGAATCATCTCTAAAATTGACGTTGTCATTCATATCTTCGTCATTGTTGTAGTTCACGTCGCATCATATTGTAGATTAACTTGTTTCGTCTCTACCTCTTCATAAATCCTGTGATTTACTTGCGGAGTGTAGGGTGACAAAACAGCCAAATTTTTTACCTTTTTTCGTTTAGTTTAATAGATTATGGATACTTTGGTTTAACACTTTCTGCTAAAGATATTTTTCTTATACCTCTTTTGCCAATATTTACTGTTTAAAAATCTTCATTTATTAAATATGTAATTATGTTGCATTCTCTTTTTTGAGTCTGAAGAGCATTTGTTGTTTTTTTTCTTCACAATATTATCTTCTAAAATTTTAAAAGACAATTTCAGTAACTTCAAAGGGGTTGTTCCGTTTACAGTTCTTCACTGCGTTATACCAGTCCTGGGGCTCGTAGGCAGTTTTCATTTTTTTATATCGCGAAATTTCTGTGATGGTAGGTGCGTATGTCCTACCCATGGACCTAGTATAAATACTACCTCCATGGGCTCCACATCTAAAAATCTAAGGGTGTCAGATCAGGAGATCTTGGGCATCGCCAGAGTCCATACCGTCCAATCCAGCGATCTTCAAACAATACTGTCAATTGTTGGCCCACTTCATACGTTGAGTGTGCAACATCCATTTGATACCAACACTGGATTAAGATATTAAGAGTCAAATTCTCACAAAAGTTGGAAACTGTTCCTCTTAATAAATCCAAATATTTAGTGCTTTTTAAATTTTCGTTGTAAATTTCGAATAAAATTTGGTTATCCGTTACCATGCAAAGTACATTAAAACTGAAGTTGTGTTTGTAATGGACTTCTCTCATATGACATAAATTATTTTGTGCTCAAAAGTGTAAATTTTGTCGATTTCTAATATCTTCTCTATTAAATTTTGTCTCATCAGTCCAAATATTTTTTTAGGAACATTGGGTCTATTTGTATTTTAATTAAAATTGTTTCACACAATTCGATTCTTCGATTATAATCTGCTGGCAATAGCGAATGAACAGTTATTAGAGAATATAGATGCATTTTGTGTTTTTTTTTTAAGATAACATGGATGGATGTAACTGACAAACCCAAATCTCTTGCAGCTTTTCTGACTGATCCATGAGGATGTGCGTGAAAATAACCCAGAACGTTAATTTCGTTAATTTCTTAACCAGTAGTAGGTTTATCTCTTACTCTTGCATTTGCTTGACCAACCTGTACGAAGTTTGATTTCAATTTTTCAAACTTCTATCTGTTTAAGGGTGGCAAGTGTGGATATCTCTCGTTGAAGATACGACACGTTCTGTTCACAATTTTGTTACACTCTCCATAAATACAAAATAAACTCATTAAATCTAAGTTTGAATAATTTTGATTCTCCATATTTTGGCACCATTTGTCATACAATAATTTATTATTAACGTTTGTTTAGAGAAGATTTTGACATTTTTTATTTACAAGCAAACTATGCGAAAACGGAGGTGACTAGTAATAAATTTTCTGTAGTCTAAATAAGAAGTCACAATAACATGAATAGTATAAAGGAGAAAATCAGCTACCAATAGATGGTACTAAAACATCAATGTTTTCCCCATTTGAATAGTTTATAGTTGATGTGCCAGATGTCTCTTTTCCTAATTTTGGCGCGTAGCTTAGACGACGGCGCGGCGACTTTTTGGCGGAATTTTGGGACAACTTAAAAGTTTTATTTAATCTGTCACCTAACGTTTTGTAGGACAATTTTTTTGTTTAAAATAATAATGACATAAGTTGAAATCTCCATTTTAGAAAGTAATGCATCGAAATAGACCCTCCCACATAGTATTTGCAATGAAATACGAAGCAAAAATGCTTGTAAGTACTCATATTTACATTGACTTGTCAAATTGACAAAAATGGAAAACTGATATTGTCAAAATATGTTTTCCCCATTTGGATAGTTTCTTGTCTGCCACCAGAGGTCAGTTACTTTGCTGATTTTCTCCTATAACATTAATAGCAAGGTAAGAGGGTTTTTACTGGCAAATGGAGGATATAACTGACGAGGCGCAGGCGAGTCAGTTACCTCCTTGAGCCAGTAAAACCCGTTACCTTGCGTGTATTGTTTTATATTTTATTTGTTTCTCATTTGTAAAAAGGTTAGACAAATTTAAATTTCGATTACAAAAAAATCTCAATAATTTGTCGTAAACGTCGTAAGCTATAGAAGCGTTACCATAAACATGTATGTTTATTTTTCTTTTCATTTGTTTTGGCGAAAGCGAAAATGAATGTGCCAAAAGAAATTATTGAGGAAGCCAGCAGTGTAGCTTCAAGTTTATTAATCAGTTTCA